CTCTGCTTGAACGCTGAGCAAATCATCTGAGAAGCTGGACTCTATAAAGAATGTGGCAGTCAGGATAGGAAGAAGACTCATCAGCAACATCCGTTATGTAGATGAGACAACCTTGCTTGCTGAAAATGAGGAGGACTTGAAATGAGGACTTGCTGCAGGAAATCAAAGACTATAGACTTCAATATGGATTACATCTCAACATCAAGGAAACAAGAATTCTCACCACTGCACCAAGGAGCATCGTGATAGATGGAGAAAAATATGAAATTGTCAATAACTTCTTTTTACTTGGATCCACAATCAATACCCTTGGTACCAACAGACAGGAGATCAGGAGACATATTTAATGGGGAAAGTCCAACATCAGGAACCTCTCCAAATTACTGAGGAGCACTGATGCCAGTTTGAAGACTAAGGTGTGAGAGCTGAACAGTGAACAAGTGTGACAGAATAATAATTGATGCCTTTGAGATGTGTTTTGGAGAAGAGTACTAAATATACAAAGAACAAACAGGTATATCTTAGAGAAGGTACAGCCAGAATGCACCTTGGAGGCAAAGAAGACAAAGTTCTGCCTCACATACTTAGGGCATGTTGCTAGAGGAGGCTGTTACTTGGAAAGGGATATCATGGTTGGAAAGAAGGAGGGTCAGCAAAAGAGAGGAAGACCTTCGGTGAGATGGAGTTACACAACAGTGGGCTCAAGTGTGCCAGGGGTTAGGAGGATGGCACAGAATAGGACAGGGTTTGCTCTGAGTCATACTCTGCTCAGCAGCACCTAACAGCAACGACAACAGTGGCTTCTCTGGAAGAAGGCCTGGTGAACTGATTCCATAAAGATTGTAGTCAAGGAGCTCTGGTGGCCTACTGGCAAGAAGCTGCACTGCAATCCCAGAAGTATACGGTTCAAATCTACCAGATGTTCTGTTGGAGAAGGAGGGGCAATCTCCTCCTGTACCAGTCAGATCCGATATGACTGTACACAAACACAAAAATAATAAAATTAAAATTTTTTTTAAAAAAAAAAAGTTGTAGTCAAGATGACTCTATGTGGGGCAGTTCCAGTGTGACACAGGGAGTCATTATGAATGGAAAATTGACTCGACCCCACCTAATAAAAACAACATTGCACACTTACCATTTCACTCCAGATTTCCAGTCTGCACAAATAATTTGTGCCTTTATTCGCACTTCCACAAAATAAAACCAGTGATCATTGAACCATTTGTAACTCATAGCAGCCTGAAAATATAGGCATTCTGAAAGGGCATTCTGAAGGAGCCCTGGGGCTCTAGAATATAATATTTTGTGCTACTAACAAAAAGTCAGCTGTTTGAATTCACCACATGCTCTGTGGGAGAAGATAGGCAGCTCTTGAAAAGAGTTACAGCCTGGGGAACGTGATATAAAAGGTCCCTATATTTAATATGACTTTAATATTATCAATAATATTAGGATTGATAATATTAATTACCAGTCATTAATATTACTGTCTCACAGATAAGGAAACAATCTCTGAGGGGTTTAATGACTTTCCTCTGATTAGATTTAAATTCTAGAGCTAGGCGTTCTCCATCTTTTCTTTTAATATTAGTTTATTTACAAAATTTAAATACATTGTTTTTCACACCAAATCATTCCCATTTCCCTCACCCCCCCACCCAATTGTAAAACCCCATGATTAATCTCCCCACCTCCACCCATCTTCACCTATCTACTTCCACCCCTCCCCCCCTTGGATCCTTATACTCATTCTACAGTAATGGTTTTATACAGTATTTGTCCTTGTGAGACTGAGTTAGTTCACTCAGCATAATACTTTTCAGTCCCTTATCCATTATTTTTGTACTCTCTATAGCATACAGCCTTGTCTTTGTTCATAATAAAGACCCTTCTTTAAAATCAGTGGTTCAGAAGTTAAAAATGGAAGTAGCTTTTAAGAATGTGCTGATAATTAGCTACTTGTGGTCACTGGCCTTTATTCAGTCTATGGCCAGACTTCCCTCAGTAGTTCTGTTCTCTACTTAGCAGCAGTTTAGGAACATAAATTTGATCATGCCATAGTCTTTGCACTAACAAAAATGTTTAAAACCACTAACCACTTTCCAGGACTGAATGGTATGCTTTTGCCTCATTGTGTAAGTGGAAATCTTGTATACCTTTCCTTTTCCTCCCATCTCAGGGCTTTGTCATTTGCTGTCCATTAGACCAAAGTGATCTTCCCTTCACTACCTTTGCCCTGTCTTGCCTACCCTGCTCCTGTCATCCTTTAAGACACTGCACATCTTCACTGGAGGTCCTGCTTTGTGCTAGACAGAACTCTACCTATTAAAATAATAGATAATTTCTTTTTGAGAATTTATTGTGTGCCGAGCACTGTCCTAAGGAAAGCATATGCATTTTTTCCATTTCATCTTCACTTCAACTCTGTGCTGTCAAGTTGGAACCAACCCATAGCTGGCCCTCCAGCAGGGTTTCAGAGGCAGTAAATTGCACAGGAGGAGATTGCCCATTCTTCTCCTGCAGAATAGCTGGTGAATTTGAACCATGGGCCTTTGGGATTGCAGTATAGCTTCTTACCAGTAGGCCATCAGAGCTCCTTCTATAAACCTATTCAGTAGGTACTACAGTGAAATCTGGGAAAGACAGGAACCTGTCAGAGAAGGAATATGCAAATATTTTCCACTCCTTAAAAGTAATAGAAAAGTGGTAAGATGGTAGACTGTCAAATGGGGGAAACTTATGAGTCTCAGAAATACAAGGCAGTTCTCACCTGTTTCTACAGATAAGGAAATTATTTGCCTACAGTGCCACTATTGGTAAATGACAGCTAGAATTCATTATCTTATTAAATAGAATTATGATATCCCACTCATTTTTTATAATTGTAAGATGCTTAGAAACCATGAATCTAATCTCTTGATATTATAATAAGAAAGTTGAGTCCCAGAGTAGGGACCTGTTTACCTAATTTCATATTTCTTCTTAAGGACCAAGAGATACAGGCGCTGGCTGAAAATCGCCTGTGACTTCATCCATAGCCACTGGTGAGAGTCAGCGCCCAGAGCCATCAGGGGCTTTAAGATCATTGCCCACAGCTGTGGTGTGGACAGCTGAAACCCAGGCCCCGACAGGCACCTGGGGGGTGGGGAACCCAGACTCTACTTCATGCTCTGCTGGAGAAGGAGGGGCAGTCTCCTGTACCAGTCAGATCCAATTTGATGGTATACACACACACACACA